CTCGACATGCCGCTGGGATTGATGTACGTTGACGCGAACTTTAACGTCAATTCAAGAACCAACGTGAGAATCATTAAATTATTCCGAAGAATTATTGTTTATGGCTGAGTGTGATATGAAGATTTATCGGTTGAAGATGTATAAGATATGAAAAATTATTGGTTGACACTAGTGTAATATGAAGAATTATTGGTTGAGTCTGTGTAAGATATGACGAATTATTGGTTGAGGCTGAGTGTGATATGAAGAATCATTGCTTGAGCGCCTGAGTGTGATATGAACGATCGACAGAAGAATTACTCTGGGTTTCCAGCGGATGGTCAACGTTACGTTAATTTCCAAATTAACAAATATCTCAATTTTTTAACCATTTATTGTTCAGGTGGAGAAAATGACAGACAATATTCGACACTCCTTCATTGCAAGGTTACCTAAACAAACCTGGATGGACCGAGAAACACAGCGTAAAGCAGAGCAGAAGGTAAACAGACTATAATACTATGATGCTATGGTTTTGATAGAAAAATACACATGTAGCCGAAGCTGCTAAGACTAGCTCTTTAATAGTATGAATGACTCATAGCTTTCGCTGTCTACAGCATCAGCTGTATGTCGTCCTATTGACACACAGTCAAAAAATGCTCAAAACTCAAGTGAATCCACAATCGCAGCGAGTCAATAAGAGGACATACAACGAAAAACCGTGTGCAATTTGTTAATTTTTTCCCATACTTAGGTCTAAAAATTAGCCCAAATTATTCTTTTTTCAACTTTCGCGGGCGAGACGTCATGGTATCAGCACAGTATGCATGTCCTAACCAGCCAATCAGCGCTGGAGAATTTCCACAAGTCTGTTAGAAAAAATTATTAATTATAAGATCGATGAAAAAATGATTGTCATTCATGGTGTTGACAGCTAGACATAGAGAAATCGTTTGAAGGTCTTCTCCAGCAACATGTTGAGTTAATAATGTACGGAAGTAAAGAAGTAATTCTTTTTAAAATAATCTAGCTACGTATAATCTTGGACAAAAAGACTTGAAAAAAAGTATGTAAAATCACAGATTTTTGCAAATATTGCGAAAGGGTTTGTACATTTGCTTACTCTCAACCCTCAAAGTTGTTTTCCGAAGATCACACATACTTGCTGAATGATCTTTGAGTGCCAACAATATTGTCTTGGGGGAGGGGAGGCGAGGGGATGGAAGGAACGTTATGTAGAACTTTGCAGAATGGAGAATCATTGTTAACCTTTTTGTCCGGAATTGTAAAGATAAAGGTTATGAGCGATGAGATCAATCAGCTAAAATCCAATATATTGTATTGACCAGGCCCGCGCGATCAAGATATCCATAGGGTACCCAGATTACATCAAAGATGCAAAGAAACTTGAGCGTCAATACGACTCGGTAAGTGTGACTAAAGATACTTTCTCTAGTATACAGCTATTCCAAAAAAAAACGTCTGAGAGAACGGCGAATGGCGAATGGCGATTGTTGAAGGGAGATTGCACGACCGAAAGGGAATATGGTTACACTGTTTTAATAAACAAAATTTCACTTATTGGATTCACCTTGCATAGAAATGAAGACTAAATCGAGCCAATGTTTAACACAGACCATCTTACAGTACAAATCAGTTGTTGTTGCCTTTCAGCTAGCAAAACCCATGGCTACTTTCGGTCATGCAATTGCCTTTCGACCACTGACATTCGTCATTTTATGCGACAACCTTTTTTGAAACAGCTATATGCACTTAACTGCAATTGTCGCATGCAATCTTTGCATGTGCGTGCAAGATGAATTGCGCAAGCAGCATCGTATAACCTTGATCTCCACATACTTGGGGTTGAAGAAAGAGAGTCATGGCTTGATAAGCATGAGATTATGGAATTTTATTTATGGATTTAGTTTGTTGGAGAAAATTCAGAGATAAAATACAAAAAGAGTTTTTTGGCTGTTATCGCGATAAGAGCGCGCGCGCGGGTAAAAAAAAATCGATTGCATATATTTCAACTGTTTTCACAATTTTTTCAAAGTTCAAGGTCCATGACGACTATTTTGAAAACACCAAAGAAATGAATCACTTTCTAAGAATGAGGAACGTGATGACTTATGGGAAACCTGTCGATAAAAACTCGTAAGTATGACCCAGAATCGTTCCCACAGTGCCTTTCGACGTGGTTTTTGTACACTTTTGTGTTGGAATCACTGTTTTGAGTAAAGAGTACAATTATGAAAGCTAAAGTAACAAATATAATTGTTAAAGGGACACTGTCAATGGATGACATGCGCAGTAACAGTCTCACCTCTACTGACGGACTTTGAAAGTATAACCTTCGAGGTAAATCATTTTGTGATGCTTTTGACACACTTTGGAATATTCTAGATCTGTTTACGTTTACGATCTGATTTATGTCGCGCCAACTTGGAGTCATAAACTTGAAAACACTAGCCTAGTGTTTTCAAGTTTACTCGCGCATGTCATCCATTGACAGTGTCCCTTTAA